ACGCTTATCTGCCCTTGAGTTTATTCCCAATCGAAAGCAGCAAGACAACGAACAGGTGGCGCAGTAGATAGAGCGTTAGACTTCTAACTAACAAGGTCGCGGGGTTCGAGCCCCGGGGTTGCCAGTCCTGGGGTTGGGTATGGCTGGCTGATTACGGCTAATAAGCCAGTAATGGCCATTCCAGTCTCCCATGTCTTTGCTGACAATACTATCTGCCTAGACTACATATATGCACCCCCTTTGATGAACGTTCGTCGACCGCTGAGGGAAATCACTTGTCCCGCTCTGCTTTGGGTCTCATTTCTCGGGTTCTGCTACGGCTACTGCCAAAACCTTATGTGCGTGTAAACGTGTGTTTTAGGCCAAAAAACCTAACACCTTTCCTGGTGAGCTGGCTTGATTTTCTGTTCACATTGGGCCCAGGCAGGTGGGAGTGGAAAGAGTGCGGTAGATGCAGTGCAAGTTACCGTTTTGCGTTTGTCATATTGCGAAGTACGTTGTGGGCATTTTCCCATGAGACTGTCGGATTGCCAGGCCATGCCCTTTTTATTCAATATGTTTTCTAAACTAAATTTTGTGCCTTCGTATTTTTTTACTACTTTACCGCTTGATTCCGATCCTGTTACTGTCTTACACAAGATATGCACAGTCAAATCTCTATACAGCAAATGCCGATTCTTTTCGCTGCAGGTATTCTCCTCAGTCTTCAGAGAATTATTTATCCTATGAACCTGCGGATTTACGTCTAAATTTCCGCGTGCTCTTCAACAGATTTGAATTTGAATAGATCGGGTGTTTGCACTCATTTTTACCTTCCTGTGCTCCCTGTCAAGTTCTATTTATGTTTTCATTGCAGTTCTCTCACACTAACCAGTTTTGGAACTTACTCAATATGGCTATTACCATGTCCGGGGAGCTGCGTCTCACGAGGTTCCTCCTTCGACGCGTTGCACGGGTACGTTTATCACATCTTTTAGGCTACTCACTATGCATCAGTAACTGCTTCTCTGTATTTAAACTTTATTTGCGTGTTGTCGGTGCTCATTGTAGGACAGGCACAATCTAGCAGCTTCTCTAATGAGCTGCGGTGACTGCATGGCGCGCGGTTCCAGTCGTTACTCAATAGGTACTTTTTCCATTCCTACCATCCGGCTTTAATGTGTTTCTCCGTTTACTCTTTGGATAATCGTCCCTTGTCTGTTTTTTTAGCTCTACTCACGGATATTCGCTCCCGACACCCGGAGGTGCCACTGATCTCCTTGCTTTTGGCGATATGTTTTCTCAATATTTCTGTACATAAACACATCTTCTCGCGACACAAGACTATTCTCCAGGTAGGTATCGTTTCGTCGTACCGGAATTTTTTGACGCTGGTACATTTTTTTGGCTTTCCCTCACTTCCTTTGCGCTCCCTCTACATTATTTTCTGATCTCGCTGACCGCTAGCTTATATTCATTCCTTCTTTTTGTGGAACAGTGTATCGGCTTTCTGAGTGAATACCGCCGTCTGCGAGGAGAATGCCAAGAGGTCTACTATAACATTGCCAGATCCTGTCACCAGCTCGGTAAGTTGTCTGCTAACGTTTCTGTGCTTGACCAGCATTTGTCTCCACCTGAAGGTCGATAGCTGGGAACAGTAGTGTATACGTGATTTTCGGACGAGATCCAACCAGCTGGAATTGGATACTCCGACTGATTTTTCACATTGTGACGCATTCTTTAATTCCTCAACGGTGGCTAACGGCAACTGGCGGAGGTCTGCCTTGTGGACTTTGCTACGACGTTCGATTTCTACCAATGATGAAGGGCTTTGGTG